GATGATGCGATGATAGAATTAGGGATGGAAGATGACGAAAGCTCGATGGTAGAGCTAACACCACCAATGGTTTCCTCATCATCAACGTTTGGCTGAGGTCCATACTTCAGGACCAAACCATCAATAGCCCCCACCATCTGGACAAAGGATGAAGCCCAATCCTGCTGGATTGACAACCCAACTTGGAGCTTCCTGAGAAGACCAACCACCTCTTTCAAGGGAACAGATCCATCCAGTTGCTCAGAATCGAGCAAAGCTTCCTTCGTCTGTCGACTGATGGATCGAAGAGCCACAACCTCAGCACATCGATGGAGAGGGATGGAAGATGATGAAGAAGCTGCAGAGACAGACATAGATTGAGTCTGATCGACAGGAGACATCACAACGAGAGAAGCTGGTGAAGGTAGCGGAGTACGAGAAGGAGAGGACAACGGAGTCGAAGTTGCGACAGGTAATGGAAGAGGATGGCCATCACAACACCCACCAAAGAAGTCCTCAACATCTGAGGGAACGAGCACAGGAAGGGCGTATGGCTTTCCATAAAGCGGCCCAGATGGAGGTGAAGCAGGACCGAAAGCGGTCAAACGAATGGTTGTTGATGATGATAATGATGGTGCTGCCATTTCTACTTAAATTATTTTTTTTGATGGAGAACTCGAGTGAAGAGAGTGAAGAGAGTGAAGAGAGTGAAGAGACTGAAGAGAGTGAAGAGAGTTAAGAGAGTGAAAAGAGTGACAATGAAGACCACTATGTTGACTTGGTGAAAGATGAGAGAAGATTGATAATTTCAACAAATTTAAGCTGACCTTACATACCAAATTCAAGACCAACATCATGCTCTTCCCCTGCTCCCTCACAAACGAATAGAGTTGAAACTATGCCTGAAGCTACGCCGGAGGCTATAACCTGTCAAAACAACTCGTCAAAAACTTGTCAAAAACTTGTTCCTTTCAAAACAAAGATGAGAAGAGAGAGAAGACCAGAATATACTAGGTGTTCATACCCTGAAGCATCGCCTGAGGCTATAACCTGTCAAAAACTTGTCAACAATACATCAAAACTAGTTTCTTGAAGACGTTGCTAAGAAAAGAAAGTTGAAAGAAAGCAGAAAAAATGCGCAGAAACTGGTAGTCTTTGAATACAAACTTGTTTTTCCTTTAGTTTACCAGTGGCGCTCGAAGTGGAAACAACAAGCACAACAAAACCAATAGAAAATTTCACAATAGATTAAACACACAATTAAACCAAATAAATATAAAATTAATTAAGTTATCACCATTTCATTGTAATTTATAAATTGTTAAAATTAGATTGAAATATAAAATAATAGGTCCATCTATCTAAAGATAAACGAACGATTAGTGCAAGCTCCATCTATCCAAAGAAAAACAAACAAGTAGTGAGAACACCATCTATTGACTAGAATCGGAAAAACAAAAGTATACAAACGACATCTTCTGACAATGTAAGTAACTAAAATTCCCAAAATTTTCAAATAAGGATAGAATTCAAAATTCATTATGATTGCAGCTAAATGCTAGATTCTATCATGCTATTCTTTATGCACTAGCTTAAATAAGCTAAAAGAAACAATCTCATGCCAAATTTCAGTCCATACAGTCCATATTCTAGAAAAAAAGGTGAAAAAATAGCTTTTTGGAAGAATTAAGACAATTTTCACTCTATACAAGTTCATTTATGATGAAAAAAATTCTTCTCTTTACTAAATTTTACTCCTAGATACATATCTATCCATTTCCAGGTAAAATTTTACTATTTTTTACGTATGAAAAAAATCCACA